TATTCGTGTTTTTTAGCATATACACTTAGTTCTAATAATTGTGTCTTTTACAAACAATTTATATATTTAAACTTTCATCTCTTTGTAGCTCTATATATGTATATATATCATTTTTTAAAAAGTGGTTTAAATTTATTATTTCTTTTTGTTTGATATTTTTTATAGAAAGTTACATTTTTTGCTATTTAGCATTCATATATATACTTTGTTATCTATATCATTATTATTTTTTCTAAATAAATATCTATTTTGCTTATTTATTTAATTTTTCTGAAGATTGTCTCTTTTTAACATAATACAATTTAAAATATTACGTCTTTTTATCATAATATTTTGATAAATATATTTTTATACCTAGTTATATTTATAATAGTTTAGAAAATGGAAAAATTGCATCTACTCATTATAAATTTTTGTGTAATATTTTTTATTTATGGTCGTATTGTTTCACCATAATATTTTCTAATAATAATACAAATCTTAAAAAGTATTTGTGAGAGTTTACGTTTCTTTATCATATTTTTTTTGTAAAATATATCTTTATTTATTGTTAAAAAAATTGTTTTGAAACTTGTTGTCTCAATTCATTATGACATTTTGTTTTTCTTCAAAATAGCCTGAAATCTTTTTCCCCGCGACATCGTGGGGGGGTCTAAGTCCTAGTAATAATAAAGGTAAACTCATTTAATTGTAAAATCTAATATGCCACCAAAACAAAGTTATATATCGGTTTGAGTTTATAAATGACGGTTATGGTTTAGATTTTATAATTAAACGAGTTAAATATCATTTTTGGTTTATAAACGGGTTTAGATTTTACAATTAGACGAGGTTAAATATTGGTTTGGGTTTATAAAAAACGGTTAGAGTTTAGATTTTACAAATAAACGAGGTTAAATATCGTTTTGGGATAATAAAGGATGATTAATGTTTAGATTTTGTAATTAAACGAAATTGTATATCAGTTTGGATTGATAAATTAAATGAATTTAATTTTTTTATTATTTTTATTAGGTAGCAGAAATCAAAACAAGAAAACGAAGTCAATGAATTACATTCAAAGTCAAACAATAATATCTCTAATAACAATCAAAACAAGAAAACGAAGTAAAAAGGAAAATTTTGGATGAAGAAGGAGAAGTTGGGTCGAATGGGTTTTTTCGGGTTAGGTTAGTGGTTAATTGTAGTCTATTTAATTTCGGTTTAGAATCACTTTTAGTTGGTTATGTTTGTTTAGAAAGCAATAAACCAACTAAAATCGAATTCTATGGAGAGATGTTTAGAACTATTTCAGGGAGATTTAGATTTCGAACTTTTAGTTTAGGGGGATATAGGTTTCGAATTTTGATTTCGGAGATATTTAGCATGTGGTCATAGATTGGTGTGGATCTATTATGATGTTATACTTCTCGTGGGAAAATAGATCGTTTTTAGTCAAAATTTGAGTAAAGAAGTGAAGAGAAGATTGAGAGTCAAAGTTCAAGAAGGAAGACATGAGTAACAACACATCAAGACGTTGCAACAATGAGTTCTAAAGATGTCAAGCTAAGAGATTTTGGAAGGCAAAGAAGGAAGTTGGCCAAGTACGTAGGCGAGACCGAAGGAGTAGATGGTGATTTTTTGTCGAGTATCTCTAATAACAATGTGGTGATTACATTCAAAGTCAAACAATAATATCTCTAATAACAATCAGTGGCGTGCTTCATATTTAATAAAATAGGCAATTGTCTAAGGCCACCTTAAACCTCTCTAAACCTGGCACCGCACTAGTATTATAGTACTTTTTTGGCACGATATATCCACATTCAGTCTTTTTATATTTGTAACTATGTACTCGGTCAATAAGTAATGTACACGATTCGTCTTGTTTGCCTAAAAGAAAAAGATTCGTTTCTGTCTATAAATGAAGGCCATCCCAAGAAAGTAAAAAAGCAGATCTCAAAATATGGTTTCATAACTCTCGTTTTTCTCTTCATCAATTCCTCTTGTGCTGAATTCCTAATTCAACAGGTATTTTTATTTTTTATTTTTAAAGCTATTTTAATTTTTAGACAGAGGCTTACATTTGGTTCTTTTTTGGACAAATCCATTGGCTTTTTAAACGTAGTTTTTAACAATAATATTAACAACGTAGTTTGTTTTCTTAACAATAATAACAGTTTTTTTTTTTTTGTCTTTTGGTATAACATTCGATTTAGTTAGTTCACTTCAAGCAAACTCATAAAAAAATATTCTGAAATTTTCGTATGAGGTAAGTCACTCAAGTCTTTCCCAATCAGGTTTAATCCAATCCTATGAATAGAGGAGGTTGTGGTGGTGGCCCTGGTAGAGGCGGTCGTGGTTTTGGTGGCCGCGGCCCAGGAGGTCCTGGTTTTGGTGGCCACGGCCCAAGAGGTCCTGGTGGTCCTGGTCCTGGTTATGGTGGCGGCCCAAGAGGTCCTGGTCCTGGTTATGGCGGAGGAGGAGGTCCTGGTCATGGTCCTGGTCCTGGGTATGGTGGAGGAGGAGGTCCTGGTCCTGGTTATGGGGGAGGAGGAGGTCCTGGTCCTGGTTGTGGCTCAGGGACAGGCGGCGGAAATCAGGGGCAAGGAGGTGGTAAATAAAATGAGTTTCTTAGTTAAACACTAAAACCAATTTCTTGATTTTCTTGGAATTTTTTTTTAGATTTTTTTTTAACTGGAGTGACAGGAATGTGGAGAGATGAGCGACCACCAAACAAGATACTGACTATAACAAGTTTCTCCGTGATTCAAGGGAGAGGAGAACCCTACGAATCCTCTGTCTTTGAGGCCGGTGGTTACAAATGGTAAAGAACTACACTTCCATAATTTTTTGTTCACTTTTTACATATATATATTTGAGTTTATTTTGATGTGAAATTAAAAATGAATCAGGAGATTAGTTTTGTACGTGAATGGTAATCAAAACGATGGTGGAAATAATCATATTTCACTTTACGTGAGGATCGAAGAGACAGAATCTCTTCCAAGAGGCTGGGAAGTCAATGTTGAACTCAAACTCTTTGTCTACAATGGGAAGCAACGCAAGTATTTGACTGTTACAGGTAGTTAAGATGTTTATGGAATTTTACTAGTCCATTATATATTTATAGATACATATTTTTTTTTTTGGTTTTAAAAAAAAAATTGTGGATGTAGATTTCAAATATTAGTGTGACATTTTCCATGAACGGAGTTGATGTGACTTCCATGTGTTTTGCAAAATTGTGGATGTAGATGGAATAGTGAAACGATACAACGATGCGAAAAAAGAGTGGGGATACGGAAAATTGATTCCTCTTCCAACATTCCTTGACACGAACCAAGGTTACCTTGAGCAGGACACTGCTTCTTTTGGTGCTGAGATTTTCATCGGTACACCGGTCCAGGTACAAGAGAAAGTCACGTTCATATCAAACCCTCCAAACAATGTTTTCACTTGGAAGATACTTCATTTCTCTACCTTGGAAGATAAATTCTATTATTCTGATGATTTTCTTGTTGAAGACCGATACTGGTTAGTACTTTTGTTAACCATATCTTTTAGATCGAAGTCTAAAAATTCTTAAAGATTGCATCTGTTATGTGAATTCCGCAGTAGTCAAGTACAATAACGGTTTTTGGTTGATATATAATCAGGAGGTTAGGATTTAACCCAAAAGGTACTGGAGATGGAAGATCACAAGCAATCCCAATCTTCCTATATGCTCAAGGTCATAAGCCAAATGCAGTTGCTACAAACACTTGGGGAGCGGTTAATCTGCGGTTAAAGAATCAACGAGGCTCCAACCACAAACAAATATATTGTAAGTAAACTAATTAACCAAAAAAATAAGTAACAAAATGGTAATCTCCAGGATAAAGTAAATGAAATTAATAGTTGGTATAAATTGTTTTTTTGCAGCTGCAGCTTGGTACCCCACTCGAAGCGATTATGGTGTGGGAGTTAACACTATCATATCGTTAGCAGAATTCAATGATGCATCGAAAGGGTATATGGTGAATGATGCCATTATCTTTGAAGCTGAAATGGTGAAGGTCTCTGTGACCAACATCGTCTCCGTTTAATTATCTCTACTTTTCTATCATCGATCAAACAACCTTATGAACAAGGAGACGTTTGATGAGTTTTAATAAGATTAAGTTTACAATGCATGTGATGTAATCGTTATTTCCTGGTCGGTCTATTTTCGTTGTCAATAAAATGAAAGTCTCTTGGTTTGAAATATTTTTAAAGATGTTGGGAAAAGTTGGAGTGTTTAACTATAAGGATAAACTTAACTATATAGAGGTTTAGTGATCTTCTCCTTATCTTAGATGTGTACGTAGTAAATATGAAAAAAAAAAGGTTTAGCTATAACAAGACACTGAAGATAATTATATATATAGGTTTAGAGACGATTTATTTTCGCATCGGGAAAGGCTCTTAATCGATACCTAAAGGGCTGTCGATCCACAACTTGAATTTTTTTTCTTTATGTTTTGTCGTCTTTTGGACCAAAATCGATAGACATAAGACACTTAAGGGTTTATCGATCGCAAAGGTGTTCTTGAATCTGTTTCAGATTTTAGAATGACATGTTTTCAAATTTCCGAAACCATAACTGAAAATGATCTGAAACCACCACAGAAAAAAAAAAACTGAGCTAACTCTGAATGTCAGAAGGTCTCTTAGGAATGCCAAGGTTTAGACGCTTCTGCATGCATGAAACAACATTTTCATATTTGCTCATAAAAATTAAAAAATAAATAAAAATGAAACAATTTTTTTTTTTTTGGTACAAGGTTAAATTTTATACCATTTTCTGATTTTTCACTGTACATTGTCGATACAACTTATTTAAGCAAAGAAGAGAAAGCTAAAAAGGAAAGGAAATACAACCGAAATAGTAAGCAAGAGGAGAAACCGAGCTTGATGAAGATCCTGTGACGGTTAGGAGGCGATCTCTGATGGCACGATCCAGGCTTGCATGCATCGCGGAACAGGTACTGAAAGGGTGATTAGAGCTGAAGATCCGTGCATTTCGCTCCCTCCCTCCAAATAAGATAGCAAGCGGTCTGCAGTAGAAGCTTGATGATGATTTTTGCATTTGAGTTCACAGGTGACTGAGCCTGCAATATCCAAGAGGAGATTGATGCGAGGGTGGCTGGTGCATTAGGCCAGATTCTCAAAGCAAAAGGCTGCCAAACACTTGCTGAGAAAGAACAATCAAAGAAGAGGTGGTCATGTATTTCTAATCCACTAGAACAAATCACACATGCGTCGGGAATGTTTAGTCCCCAGCTTCTTAATCTGTCTTTGGTAGGTAATCTCCCTTTCATAGCGAGCCACGTGATAAAGGAGTAACGTGGCACAGCTTCCTTAAACCAGATAACTTTAGTCCATGGCACTAAAGGAGGATGTAATCTCAATTGCTCCCAAGTTTCCTTAGAAGAGAAGAATTGTGCAAAGGAACCCGACAATCTACGCCATAGATAGACATCCTTACCATTGGAGATATTGGGAGGAGCATGAGCCGTTAGAGTGATCATTAGCTGTTCTTGTGCCTCTGATCTAGCACCCGGCATCCGCCAATCCCCATTCCTTACTGCCTCAGCCACTAATGCCTATTTCCTTATCCGAAGATCCCTAGGTCCAGTCTCTCCAATATAGCGGACCAAAGGACCGAGGTCCGTCCAATGGTCAAACCAAAAAGAAGCATTCTGCCCATTCATCACCTCACATCGCATATAGTCCACAATATAAGGTTTTAGGTGAATCATGTTTTTCAGAGTCCTTGATAGCCTTGGAGAATCTTCTAAAGTCCAGTAGCTCTTTCTTAGGAAGATATATCCTTTTATCCAAGCAACCCATAAGGAACCCGAATTTGTAAACAGATTCCAAATAAGCTTGAGCTGGAAAACGATTGCAAAGTCTTCTAGCAGTCGTAAGCCAAGCCCTCCCTCCTCTTTGGGTTTACACACATCGGTCCAAGCAACTCTTGCCCCGAGCGCAGTGGTAACTTTGTTTTTCTAGAGAAAAGCTGGCAGTCCATGCATGAAGCTTGTTGGTGATTTTCTCAATAAACGGCTGTAGAGTAGCAAAAGTGATTCTGGCCGGGTTGAGAGGTAAGCCCAAGTACCTAGTGGGAAAGGAACCAACTCTAATTCCTTGTAGTGCGCTCAGCACATCCAGTTGAGAATCCGTGTATCCACAAAAAAAACTCAGACTTGGTTGGATTCACGTCAAGCCCACTTAAACTTTTAAAATGCAACAAAACCTCAGCGATACCAAATAGAGAGTGCCTCGCTCCGTCTGAGAAAACCAGCAGATCATCAGCGAAGAGGAGATGAGTTACTTGTGGAGATGAACAGTTTGGGTGCAGCCGAAACTTTCCTTGATTAGCAGAAATTTGTAGCAGCTTTGACAGGACCTCCATGACCATAATGAACAGATATGGAGAGATAGGATCTCCTTGACGGAGGCCTTTCTTTCCTGGGAAGAAACCAGCCAGTTCACCATTGATGGAAATGGAATACCTTGGCGAGGAGATACATTCTTTAACCCAAGTGCAAAAGAGAGGAGGGAAGTTCTGTGCTTCCAGAATCTTCAGCACAAAATCCCAACATACAGTGTCAAACGCTTTCCTGATGTCCACTTTAAGCATACAACTCTTTGGGCAAGCCACTTTTTGATAATTTCTAATCAGCTCCGAGGCTAGTAACACATTTTCCCCTAGGCTTCTCCCATTTAAGAAAGTAGCTTGATTCGGGCTAATGCAATCCTGTAGAAGAGGCTTCATTCTGTTGGCAATGATCTTTGAAATAATTTTGTAGGTCAGGTTACAGCAACTTATAGGGCGGTAATCTCCCAACTTGCAAGCTTCTGGCTGCTTCGGGATAAGAGTAATTGTTGTATTGTCAGCAGCATATTCTTTGATTTCAGAAGAGGTAACAATATTTCTATCGTCTGAATCTCTCAAAAAATGTATATGATTCCTTGCAGCTCTTTGAGACATAGTCTTATGGAAGTAGGCAGTATTTCTATCACCTAAATCCATCCAAGTCACACGAGACTTTTGCCTGAAAAACTTCTCCTCAGCGGATATAAGGAATTGCCATTGTTCCCTGGCCTGGTGCTCTTCTCTTACAACCTGCGGCCCTGGGTTAGAAAGGACCTATCTCTGTAAATCAGCCACTTTTACTGCTTGATCCTTTATCCTTGTAGTAATACCACTGAAATGACGCTTATTTAAGCTTCTAAGTACATGCTTCAGGGTACTTAGAGAACGTACAAGCTTGAATTGGCAAGTTCTAAGAATAGCTTGAGGATTCCATGCATGAATAACAGATTCTTGATACTCATTGTGATCCACAACATGCTGAAAAAACTTGAAGGGTTTTCTAGAAGCAAGATTTATGGATGGCATCCGAAATAAGCATGCCGCATGATCCGATTGCAGAGGTTCAAGAAAGTCAGCGTAAGAATCTGGAAAAATTGCGGACCAAGGCTGATTAATGAAAGCATGATCAATCTTCTTAGATGCAGGACTATCTTCTTGATTATTCCACCAAGTAAATGGGAGACCTTTAGCCTGAGCCTCGAAAAGTTCAGCATCTTGTAGAGCTAGATTGATATCATCCATTCCCGATGTGTCAATAGACTGCGATTGATGCTCCGAATGATGAGAGAGCCTTAAGATCTGATTGAAATCTCTTGCAACGGCCCAAGAACATCTATTGACAGGAGTATTAACATTCAACCAAGATAATTCTTCCCACAAAGACTGCCTATCATCAGGCAGGTTATGTGCATAAGCAAAAGAGACAGTGAAGCTTAAGTTGTGAGACTGAATAAAGATACCATAAGTTATTAACTGCGCCGAAGCCTTATAGACCACCAAAGATACCGACGGATCCCATACCACAAAGATTCTTGATGTGTTATGGTGCTCAAAATTTCCAAAAAACTTCCATCCTGAAGGGATTGCTCGGATAATCCTTCCTACATTTAATGGTTGAATATGTGTTTCAACGAACGCTCCAAAAAGTGACTTATGGATGCTAATCCATTCTTTTGTTAAGTCTTGACGTCTGCTACTATTAAGACCTCTTACATTCCACACAAAAAACATATCAAATGTTGGTTATCGTGACTGCGTGACCTTACGGCCACTCTTCCAGCGCGAGACCAGAATAAAAGGAGCTTCTGATTCCTCTACCTCTGCAGAGATCCGAGCACTACCTGAAACCGCAACCTCATGCACCAACTCCACAAAAACCTGCCCAATTTCTAAATCAGATCCCAATCCAATTGGAGTAGCAACCTCAACATCAGAACTTCCTGCAGCAGCAAACCCTACTGACCCCACTGCAGTCTCAATAGCATCCTCAACAACTTGTTTACCTGAAGTGGCAGAGTCCTCTGAACCAGCTATAACCACAGCAGCCTCAACAGACTACTTATTACATGTTGCATCCTCTTGAATTGTAGGCCCTTCTTTGACCTTCCAAACTTTCGCAGGAGAGCGTCCTTGACGGGAACGCCTGTTAGTACGAGGCCTACTCCGAGACCTATTACTCCTTCTTCTGTTCATAAGAGGCACCGGAAGCCAGAGCTTGTAGTGACTGCGATCATGACTGACGCAGTCGGAAAACCTTAGGAAAAGCAAGCGCTAAACCTAGATTGAAACACAAGTTCACAAGCGATGAACTTGAAAGATAAAACTCTGGAATCCACCAGAAACTCTAGAATCCACTAGAAAAGATAAAGCTTTATGCTTCTTAAGAAAGTAATTATGAGATTGTTTCTTACAAAAACCTAGGATCTCTTTATATAGATAAATCCCAATTAGAGGAAAGGAAATAAGCTTGAAATAAGGAAATAAAGAAAAGTAAAACCCTATGAAAAAGAAGGAAAACCAATAGAAATTGCCAAAATATTAAATAGGAAATAAATCTAAATTAATTAGAATCCTAACGATTAAGCTCCTACATCAGACTCCTCCACTTCCAAAGAACTCGACCTCGAGTTATATTATGGATAAAGAATTTCATCTACCTTATCTCGCATAGGAGGGAAGTCATGTAGATATCCATCTGAACTGAGCTCCTTAAAATCAATTAGAATCTCATGCACTTCCTCTAAGATTGTTTTCTTCTCTTTAACATCATTTATCAATCCAATACTGTTTATGAAAAAACTCATATGGATTTCTCTTGCTATGAATCATAACTAAGACGCTTGAAATCTTTCTCCCTAGATTCTTTTCTTTGTAGTGCTCTCCATGAGCATCTACAATCAACTCTTTGAAGTTCTTTTGGATCACTAGAGCCCCTTATAGAATTATTGTCTCTTTCAATTCAGAAGTTTCACAGAATAATGGAATATTAGTCTTCATCTGATAGTCATGATTGCTTTGTTGATTATCTCTATCAACTATCTCGTCTTTCTTGAATTCTTCATCAGCATCCATGCGAGAATCATGATTATTGTGTAGATTTCTTTGTCCACTCTCTTCCTCCATGGATTCTTCTTCATCAGAGATCAATTTATCTTCAATCACAACACGATGGTTTCCTCCTTGTGGAACCTGAATTAATTCCTCTCTTGCTTTTTGTTGAATATTGATCCTATTGATTAACGTCGTTAATTGATCTCCAATATCAGTTCCACTTCGTGAAGCCCTAATTAGTTTTTCTCCTCTGCCTCTTTGTTGATTTGCGTTGTTGTTGGTCTTGTTAACCTGATTTGTCAATTCCTTTATCTCCTTGATTAAAGTAGTCAGGGACGTGGTAATAGCCGACGTAAAACCCTGAAAATCTGCTTTTGTCACCGGTTGATCTCCCATGGCTGATCAAGTTTCGAAAAAGAGACAGGAGAAAGCCTGCTCTGATACCACCTGACGCAGTCGGAAAATCGTAGGAAAAGCAAGCGCTAAACCTAGATTGAAACACAAGTTCACAAGCGATGAACTTGAAAGATAAAACTCTGGAATCCACCAGAAACTCTAGAATCCACTAGAAAATAGAAAGGTTTATGCTTCTTAAGAAAATAGTTATGAGTTTGTTTCTTACAAAAACCTAGGATCTCTTTATATAGATAAATCCCAATTAGAGAAAAGGAAATAAGCTTGAAATAAGGAAATAAAGAAAAGTAAAACCTTATGAAAAAGAAGGAAAACCAATAGAAATTGCCAAAATATTAAATAGGAAATAAATCTAAATTAATTAGAATCCTAACGATTAAGCTCCTGCATCAATGACCATAAGCATTGCATTCCAAACACCTTGGCGGTAACCATGGGTAAGAGACAGAGACTTCAAATTCACGGCCTGAACTAATCCCCAAGATAAGCTTAGACGGAAGATGCTTAGTGAGATCAACTCGGACAAGAACCTTGGCCACTTCAAATGTCTCCTTACGCTCAGTCTCTGGTGCCAAAACAATTGGCTTTCCAACAGCAATAGCAATTCTACTTAGGCTTTGCTTGTTAAAGAGAAGGTACAGGACTCCTCTAAACTCAGCTGTGACTGAGGCGGATGTTATTGGAGGTAGATCCGGCTCGAAGTCAGGAGACCAAGGAGCA